GAGACTGGCGAGCTATTTCCAATGTGATTGTATAATTCTGTGTTCCCTGCAGTAATAGATGAGTGATCTGATAGCTTTGTGTCTTTACCAGTATTTAGGACTGTCCCTGTTTCAAGTGTGTACTTACGTCTCATTGTGTTTTCCATTTACATTTCCCTAATTGAACATTTTTTATATGCCTATGTGCTAGAAATGGTTTTCTTGGTTTTCCTTCACTGAGAATGTCCTGGAGGATATTTTCACTGGATATACCATTTCAAGTTGACAGTTCTTTCAAAACTTCAACAACTAACTGTGCCACCTCACTCTAGCCTACACAGTTCCTAATGAGAAAATCCACTGTCACTGGTGTTTTTTTTCTATGGGGGCAAAGTATAATTTCCAACTAGCTGTCATGTAGATTTTTTTCCCTTAATTTTCAGTAAGTTTGACTGTGATGCACTTGATATAGATATCTTTGAGTTTATGCTGCTTAGGGTTTAGTAAGCTTGTTGACTATAGATTTGACCTCTTCCCTAAATTGGACAAGCTTTCACCTATTTCTTTCAGTACTCTTCGGCTCAACACTATTTCTCCTCTCAGACTGTCCTCCAATTATATGAATATAGATCTTTTGTTATTAGCCTGCAGGTCTCTGAGGCTTTATTTTTCTCCATCCTATTTTCTTTCTGTCACTCAGAAAAATTTCTATTGATTTATCTTCAACAAGTTTTCTTCTGTCTCCTCCATGTATAATCTTACAAAATTTCCATTGTGTCTTCAGTCCTAACTATTCCATTTAATCCTTCTTTATATTCACTATCTGTTTAGACTTTCTATTTCTTTACTGAGATTCCTATTTTTTATTTGTTTGACATAGGTTTACAATTACTCACTGAAGCATTTTTATTGTGAACCACTTTAAGAGTTCTTGTCAAATAATTAAAATAACTGTCTTTCAGTGTTTGCATCTCTTGGTGTGTTCCTTCTACTGCTCCATGAAGATGATAGCTCTAGCCCACTGGACCTCACTAGTGAGGAAAACGTAAAGATCGAACTTCAGAGCTTTGTGTGATTTCAACAAAGACCACCAGAGCATGGGGATTCATTGCTGCCTATCAGGAAGAAGAGTTTGAGCTCAGCCTACCTTTCCTGCCACCATTTCAGCAGGGAGGGTGGGGAACCTCCTTTCAGCAGGTGAAGGTAAAAGCCTAGGTCCTCTGCTCAGCTGTGGACACCAAGTGGCCTCATGTGTGAGGCACCATGTGCTTTTTTTCCATGATATTTGGCTAGATGCGTTATTGTCTTACTAGTCTTCTGTCTTGGTAGGTTGACTCTTTCCTACACTGTAGACAAGAGCAGTCAGACGTAGAATATATGTTTGTTTAGGGAACTTCTAATTTTTCTGTCTGTCTCTGCCTGTTGGTGTTTCCAGACTGCTGGCTTCTTTAGCTTTAATTATGAGATATTTGTACCAGGAAACGCACCAGCATGCCATTCCAGATTCCCAAGCTCCCTAGATTTATGCCTCTCCAGCCCTGAGAGTATTTTTATGTTTGCTTTATATATGATATTCAGAGGTTTTACTTGTATTTAGTGAGAATGTAAATTAATACAATTTTTCTAATGGAAACCTTGGCAGTGTGTATGAAAGATTTAAATAATGTGCAATCTGTTGACCAAGCCACAGTATTTCTAGGAATTTAAACTAAGCCATTTTTAAATGTCCAAAGATATATGTGCTTATGCATACTCATCACAGGGTTGATTATAAATCTAAATATAAAATTAACTTATTTTTTAAAAAAGGTTGTATTTTTACTAAATTATGGTACAATTTCACATTGGCTTTTATGTAAATATAAAAATACATGACAATACATTTTAAGTAATCAGGTTTAAAAAGTGTATATACATTGAAAGTTCAGTTTACTTTGTTATAGTTTCTACTGCTATCGTGAACATCCTTTAGATATGTAACATTAAAAAATCAATGACATGAACAGAAACTATCCTTCGAAAGTAAACTCATCACTTTAAAAATAGGCAGCTATCATAAGCAATTACTTTGGACTACAACCTTTAACTTCTCAAGTATATTCAAAATTTAAAAACAGTTGGTATCTATTATCTTTTATATGTAATCTTTAAATTACACACTTTTGGGAGAAAATATTTTCAAAAGATAGATCGACTAGAGGACTACTGAAATATACAAAGAGTGGGACTGGCTGGTGGTGTAGAGGTTAAGGTACTAGATTCCCACATGGCTGACCACAGTTTGTGTCCCAGACCTGGCGGCTTGATTTCTCCCTTTCCCTTTCTCTCTGTCTCTCTCTGGTCAAATTAAAAATAGTAATGATGATAATAACAAATAAAATAAGATAAATAATTCTTTTTAAAAATATACAAAGAGCTCTTAAGAGTCTATCATAAGAAAATAAATAAGTCAATTAAGAAGAGTGGGCAAAAAACACAAACATATGTCATTAGGTCATTGGAAATGAGAGCCACAATGACATACCACTGTAAAGACTATTAGAGTGGCTAAAATCCAAACACTGATAACACTAAATACTGGAAAGGATGTGGAGCAAAGGGAACTTTCATTTATTACTTGTAGGACTGCAAAATAGTACAGCCACTTTGGAGGACAGTTTAGCAGGATTTTTACAAAACTAATAGATTATTCTATTATCAAAAGATTCAGAAGTCACTTTCCTGGGTATTTATCCAATGGAACTAAAAACTTGTATCCACACAAAAACCTACCTGTTCATGAATGTTTCAGGAGCTTTATTCATAATTGCCAAAATATGAAAATGTGGAAGCAATAGAAATATCCTTTGGGCACATTCAGAAAATAGATTATTCAACACTAAATAATGAAATAACAGGACCAGCAGATGATGTAATGGTTACATTGCTGGACTCTCACATAGTTGACTGCAGTTCGAGTCCTAGAACCGATGACTTAAAACTCAGGCTGGGCATGTGTGCCTGAGTGCCCAAAATCCGAGAGGAGAATGGACGCGAAGGGATTGTGGCATGGCCATTTCCCCTGGGGGGTGATTTCTCGCTTTCTGTCTCTTTGGTGAGTGGATGCACCCTATAGCTAAAATTTCTCAAAAAAAAAAAAAAAGAAAAAAAGAGAGAGAGAAAAGAAAAATGAAATGAAATATCAAGCCACAAAAAGATGTGGAGGAACCTTAGCTGCCTATTGCTAGGTTAAATAATCCAGTCTATAAATGTGACGTACTGTGTGATTCCAACTTCTTAAATTTCTGGAAAAGGGAAATCTATGGGGTTTATTAAGATAGTAGTGATTTCTGGGGTTTCAGGGCAGGCAGGTATTCACAATATCACGTATGATACTAAAATGAGGATGGACAGTAATATACATTTGTAAAAAGCCCATAGAATGTACAACACAGAATAAGCCCTAATGTTAACTATGGACTGTGATTGAAATGTGTCATGGGTGGTTCATTGATTATAGCAAACACATCACACTGAATAGGGATGCTGGTGGTGAAGGAGTCGGTGGTGAGAGAGGTGAAAAGTGTGCACCAACTCTGTCCTACTTTCCTAGTTTTGCTTTTTAAAAACCCTCTATTTTGGGCTTGCAGGTGGTAGCACTGGACTCCCACATGGTCAACCGTGGTTTGAGTCCCAGATATGATGACTTCAAACATGCCAGGCATACACCTCTCCAGAGAGGAGAATGGAAGAGAAGGATTACAGCATGGCCATGGCCTCTGAGAGATGATTTCTCTCTCTCTGTCGAACCTGCCCTATGGCAAAAAAAAAAAAAAAAGTAAAAACCTCTATTTTATATACATCTACACAGACATATGCCTTTGGTTTTGGAGGAGACTTATAATAAACAGCCCTATGTGTGTTGCTCTGCCTTTGTTCATAGCTTTTAAATAAGCAGTTACACATGTTTAATAAAAAATGAGTCTCAGAATTCAGGGCCAAGAAACAGCAGTCATGTCTAGGTGGCTTGACTCTTGGACAAGAAAAGATATAAAAGCTGTCATTTTTTGCCTTTGACTTGGGAAGATTTTTGTTCACCAGTTCAATCTCTCTCAGTATAGACCTACTGGCTGGTGTCCCCATCCGACTCCCTCTACGTGACTGTGGGACAGGTGTCAAGAGAGGGCACTAATTCAAAGAGGAGTGACACCTGGGAGATCTTCTCCTGGACAGCTTAGCTGTAATTCACCACTTGATAGCACTCTGTCCCAGATAAGATTTCCCTTTCAGTGCGTAATCTTTTCAAAAACCATGCATAATACCTATTATTATTACCGTTATTGCCATCTGTAAACTGAGGCTCAAAGAGTCTAAAGGCATTGATCAGAGTAATCAGTAGTGGTGGACTAGCCCCTGGCTCTAAAATCTCTGCACCTCTCCTCACAGTATATCCATCTAATGTAAGAGCAGCCCTGGTGCAAGTTCAGTCTTTCAAGAGTTACATAGGGAAGAAAACACCTGCTGAGCATCACCTTCCTCCCAATCTGTACTTCCTCTCTCTCGCTTTTTTCGTCTTTCATCTCTCCCAATAAATAGATAAATAACTGCTCAGAAAAAGGGAAAAGTAAAATTGTTCTATTTCCCTACTCTTGCTAGCTGCCAGTAGCAGCAATAATTTCTTATCAGCAATTGTATGTCATATATCTTGTAAGTTATTGATTATGAAAATAAATGAGCACGCCCAACCCAGCAGCAGATTAAATGATGAATAGGTATTTACTCAGTGAGACTCATATTGGCTGTAGAGTGGTTCAATAGTCAAATATTTTATCTTCATAATATTCAGAAAATTCAGATCTAGTTATAACCCAATGCGATCTGGCAGCATTTTAGATCATGTATATATAAGCTATTAATATTTTCAGCAGAACTCACCTTAAAGTCACCAAAGGCACTTCAATTATTCTACTTAAGAGAGTTCTTAGTTGAATGATCATCAAGTATGTTTTAGTGTGTATTACATGCTTTATCCAATATCTTACCTCTGCTCTTAACTCAAAGATTACTCTATTCTTGCCGTTTTGAGATTTACATTCTTTCTTCATATCTTCTGATAGTCCTTCGATTTCAGCTTCATGTTGGCCAAGAAGAATGTCAGCCTGAAAAATGAAAAGAAGTTAATGCTATAATCACAGAATTCTAGAAAGCCTGGTAAGTCACATTAGTCTTTCATTAGCTTTAGTTCATTTTAATATTTTGTTGCTTTTTTCTGTAGATTCTGGAAGGTTCTTGTTGCTGCTGTAATTATGTATTAATTATTATGTTCGTAGCTGAAAAATATTAAATAATTTTTTAAAAAATCAGTGAATTTTAATAAATTCCTTAATTGAAAATGGACGAAATGGACAAAATTCAGTTACCTTCATAGAGTCATAAACAATGAACTAATCAGCTTAAACTGATCAAATTAATCCTGATCTTTTAGTCTTAAATATTACAACATTACTCTTTCCAATCCAACATAAGAATATTTTTGATTAAAGATAGCATATTGATTGTAACAGAGATTCGGACAATGGAAAAATAATACATACGTAGTGCCCAGGCTAGCGAACATCTACAAGAGATGCCAATAAACTGCTCCAGGAAACTACTGCAGAAAACATAATGAGAGAAAAAAAGCCCACCAACGCAAACAGTGGTTATTTCTCCACAGCTGTTCTTGTAATTAGAAGTTTCAGCAGAACCACACAATTTAATTCATATACAAAATGTGTGGGGGTACATATACAAGCTATTTTATTCATTTATTTTCCCTTAACTTATGTAAGTAAATGTTTCCATCCTTCATATTATATAATTTGTGTGTGAGCCCATGATAAATTAGAATTTAAAAGTTGGTATATTACCCCCTATTTAAAAATTTTAAAACAGGGGGCTTAGACAGTGGTACAGTGGAAAAATACTATGCTTTGTAAGACAGTCCCACAAGGGAAGGCTCCGATTTAAGTCTGTAGACTACTCAAAGTATTCTGGGAGCACTTGTGCTCAGTGCAAATTCTGTAGTGAGTACTAGCTCTCTGTCTCTCTCTTTCATGGAAACAAAGAAATATTGAAAATAAAAATATTACTCATAATGTTGTTATCGATAATGGTAATAGTAATCATGCACTAGTCTGCAGGAACAGAACTCGATATATATCATTTTAGTTAATGCAGAAATTCTATGAGTTAAGTATTGCTTTTTATATGTATTTTTACCATTTTTTAAAATTTATTTATCTTACAGTCATTTACTGAGTATGTTTACAACATACAAAATAACATTTCCCATCCAGAATATACTGAATATTGGCCCAATCAAAGACATTACTACACCTACTATCTTCAACAGATAATCTTTCATTTTGTATTTAAATGTTTTACTTCTTTCTTTTTTTCCCTTGATTCCCTCCCACACAAAAAATAAATAAATAAATAAATGAATAAATAAACCACATTTTTAGGAGGCTTAAGCACTTTGCTTAATTAACAAAGCTAATAACTGGAGAAAGCAAATTTAAAGAACTTTCTTACAAAATCTGTTACCTGAGTGTTAATCCAATACCATGTTTATATTTATAAAGTTAAATAGCATTGAAGTATTTTCTGATAGGGAATAAATGATAGAAAGAGATACTGGAGGAAACAGCAAAAGCTGCCAATATTCAGACATAGCAGAAATGGAATGGATACAGTAGGAGAAGAAGCTGATTTCGCACAAACCGTGGAGTGTCTCCTGTTTGGAATTGGTACCATGGGTGTAACTCAGAAGACAGGATTGAGAACAAGAATAATTCCATGGAGTTCTTTAAAAGTCTGTCTAGGCATATTCTGTTCACTGTTAAGTTACATAGACTGTTTGGCATTATTCCCTAGTCATAATTAAATGTCACTTTGCCAAAGAAAATAGTGAATAGTAAGAGTCAAATGAAAGCAGCTAGTGTTGGTTTTGGTTTGCCAAAGAAAAAATCTAACTCATTTTAGTAACTGAATACCCTTAGTTTAACTTTCTTTTTTTTAAGGTTTTCACCATAGGGCATGTACACTTGCCAGAGAGAGACAGAGAGGAAAAAAGTGAGAAATCACCCCTGAGAGGGATAACCATGCTGGAGTCCCCTCTTCCATTCTCCTGCTATGATTTTAGGCATGCACACACATGCACCCAGAGTGATTTTTAAGCCTTCAAACTGCAGTCCGTCATGTGGAAGTCCAGTGCCCCAACCACTATACCATCTGCTGGCCCTGCCCCTAGTTTAACTTTTAAAATCTTGGTCATTAATCCACAAATAATTAAATCAATTAATAAATCCTCCTCCTTGTCAAAAATTCTTAAAAAAAAAAAAACAACCTTACCTTTGGACAAAGAAGATAGGAAAGCAAATTTTCATAAACGACAGAAAAAGAACTCCTCAAGAAACACCTAATATAATTCTATTTTCATTTATCATTGTGAGTAAAAAGAACCCAGGATATCTGGAATATTAGGAAACCAAGAACATGAAAAAATAAGGAATAGCCAAGAATGTCTAATGGGCAGGAGACACAGGAAGAAGAGAATATATTGTAAGTTATGAAAGATAACATTATATCTTTCAAAATCCAATTACTATCTTCAGGGAAAAATTAGAGTATATTGCACTCTTAAATTAAGGATAGCAATTTTATACTTTTAGAAAGCAATAAAATAAATAGTCCTCTAGCCGGACCAGCAGGTAGTATAGTGGTTAAGGTGCTGGACACTCCCACATGGCTGATCATACTTAGAGTCCTAGAACTGGCTTGCTTTTCACTTTCTCTCTCTCTCTCTCTCACTCTCTCTCTCTGTCTTTCTCTGGTCAAATGAAAATAAATGAATGAATAAATAAAATTAAAATAAACAATTCTTTAAAAAAATAGTCCTCTAGGGACCAGCAGTTAGCGTAATGGCTATGTTGCTGAACTCCCACGTTGTCGACTGCGGTTCGCGTCCCGGACCCAGTGGCTTAAAACTCACGCCAGGCGCGTGTGTGTGCATGCCCAAGATCCTGAGAGAGAATGGAGGAGAAGGGATTGCGGCGTGGCCATCACCCCTGGGGGGTGATATTTCTCCCTGTCTCTCTGTCTCTCTCTGTCTGACGAGTGCACGCGCCCTATAGCAAAAACCTCTCCAAAAAAAAAAAAAAAATAGTCCTCTAGGAAATGAGAAAAAAGTATCTTGAAGAAAATGCAGAAGTTCTTTGTGTCTGTTTTTTTTTTATTTTTTTTTATGCAGTTCCTCTATTGGATATTTCATGTGTACCTGGGGTACAGTATACTAATCAAAATGCTGACATGCCTCAAATACCTATCTCCAGTCTGTAGTTCTCCAAACTTTGAATGTCCAGGACAAGCCTCTTACTTATCACCTCCATAGGCAGACCAAAGTCAATTTAGGAAGCCAAATTAGGAACTTCTCCCCAAACCTGGTTCTCTATTAGTCTTTACAATCTCAATAAATATCAACTCCATCTTTCCCTTTTATCAGTCTAAAAATATTGGCTATACAGCTCCTTTATTTTTCTCATATGCTATATCCAAACTAAAAGCAAGTCCATTCAGAGTATCCTTCACAATATGTAATAAAATCCAATGACCTCTCTTCACATACACCACAACTATTCTGACCAAAGCCCACCATGGTTTCCCACTTCTGTTACTTTAACAGCCTTCATTTTCTCTGTTTCATTACTTTCTCAAACAGTAAACCGATACAAAATTTAAAGTAATTCAGATTCTACAACTCCTCTATTCAAAGCCCTCTGTAGCTTCCAATTCTGTTCAGGGTTTAAGTCAAAGAGGTAATTAAATTTCACCTGGCTCTATAATCCCTCAGCCCTCATCTCCTACTCCTGGCTCTTATTCTATTCCAGAACTTTAACCTTCTCACTATTCCTGTGCCCTCCAGACATGCAAAGGGAAAAAAAATTGAATAAAATTTGTATGATTAGAAAAATAAACCACAAAAAATTAATTAGCAGATCAATAAGATAACTATACTTTCTCCTTTTAAAAATTGTGTTATTTTGGTCATTTTAAAATTATACTTTGTACATTTACAAAAAGTTAAACCAGGTTATTTGCCATGTCTCTGACACCAGAACTATATGCTATAAATTTGCCTCTGGAAAATTAGCAATGCCAAATATAAATATGTAGTCTACCTTCAGATTAACATGTCATGGAAAAACTGAAGATGATGTCTAAGAAACAAAAACATTGTTTAACATATAAATTAAAATATTGCTTACTCAAATATAATTGGCAAGAAAAATTTATTTCAAAAGAATACAAAAATACAGACCCTAGTATTTTCATTTTGCCTTACATTAATCTCTTCAATGGTCTAAAAAGATAAAGTAGTTAAGACAGACTTCAAATTCTGGTCTTTGTGAAATGTGTTGAATATTTATGTCAATATTATCAACAATGCAGTATGATTAAATTTCTCCTGAACATTACTTTCTCAAACAGTAAACCGATACAAAATTTAAAGTAATTCAGATTCTACAACTCCTCTATTCAAAGCCCTCTGTAGCTTCCAATTCTGTTCAGGGTTTAAGTCAAAGAGGTAATTAAATTTCACCTGGCTCTATAATCCCTCAGCCCTCATCTCCTACTCCTGGCTCTTATTCTATTCCAGAACTTTAACCTTCTCACTATTCCTGTGCCCTCCAGACATGCAAAGGGAAAAAAAATTGAATAAAATTTGTATGATTAGAAAAATAAACCACAAAAAATTAATTAGCAGATCAATAAGATAACTATACTTTCTCCTTTTAAAAATTGTGTTATTTTGGTCATTTTAAAATTATACTTTGTACATTTACAAAAAGTTAAACCAGGTTATTTGCCATGTCTCTGACACCAGAACTATATGCTATAAATTTGCCTCTGGAAAATTAGCAATGCCAAATATAAATATGTAGTCTACCTTCAGATTAACATGTCATGGAAAAACTGAAGATGATGTCTAAGAAACAAAAACATTGTTTAACATATAAATTAAAATATTGCTTACTCAAATATAATTGGCAAGAAAAATTTATTTCAAAAGAATACAAAAATACAGACCCTAGTATTTTCATTTTGCCTTACATTA